CAAAATCTGTCCAGCAACCTCTCCGAGGTGCATATCGGGTAATGCTAATGCCGGCGGTATATGCCATAAATGCAAGGGTTTCTTTAAAGTTCTGTATCTTTGCAGAAAAAAATGGTAGCGGTTTTTCACATACTGGAAATTAAAGATAAAGGTTTGTACTTTATGCTGCTGTAAACAGTATCGCCCCAAAAAAATGTGGCAAGTCCATGCATTTCGTCAAACTTTGTAATTTTCAATATTGCAAACATGACCTCACATTTACGGTGTTATTGTGGTAGGAATGCATCAAATCTAAAATCAAACTACAGGGTCTTAAAGTAGAGATCTCAAGCTTTAATTTAAAAAAAAGAGCATAACTTTGCGATGATTTTTCACGGAGTTATCATCAGTCGAATTTGGCCAATTTTTGCCTAAAATTTTTCTATGCCATATTTCTTTTGAGCAGTGTATTTCACTCCCATTCAGAAGCTGAAAACTGTTAATAGATGTTCATGAACGTACCATTCAGCTCCACCCTGCTCAACAGTGTACTCTAAAGCTTGAAGAACACTGGGCCTCTCGTCTGGGTCCAGAAACCAGGAGTACATTTTTGGAGGGAATAAATTAACGTCTTCAGGAACTTTGAGGTAAGAAATGGACGACAATATCCTGAAATATACAGAACTTGTAACACCTCAAAATTGTGATCACACTTCTAACAAGTTTCTAGCAAGCTCTTCACATATATAGTACTTGAAATTTGAGTTTGAAGTATTTGAACTCTTCACATGTGGAGTGAATGTGACATTGTATTCTGGAGTGAATCCAAGAGCAATATTGTCTAAACTCAAGATCTTCAAGGTTAACCTTCCCCAAAAAGAATTCGCCCAAGACCAAGTATCATTCAAGTAACAATTACCCCAAAATGGCGGACAACTGCGTCATAGTGTTCTTATCACCCGGAGTCAGCCTCCTGATCTTGCGAATACTGTTCAAACACGAGTACAGTAGCTTCTTCGTGGCGTTCCAGAACAGCCTGGTCTCATCAGCCGAAAACAGGCCATTCTCCATCGGCCTTAAGAGATCGATCGCCAGTTTATTGAACACCGTGAAGTTGAGGGGATGTTCCTGATGGATCCCAGCGTACTCCACCCACTGTGCCAGAGCAATGTTCCTAGCTAATAAACCTCGTTGTGCGCTGTGTTGAAGAAGCAGAACCTCGGCAGGCGCGGACCATCTGCCACACCAACAGTATTTCTCTATCTTCTCGTTCTCTATTTCGTGGAGTAGTAACAGTCTGATCAGGTGCCTGTACTCCTGTGCAGCCACCTGCGCGTTGTGCTCTGCGCTGAAGGCTAGTCTTAATTTTACGACGCCACGGCGTTTTGATTTGTTCTTTTTCTCGAGGGAGTACCACATTGTGTGGCCGGTTGTTGGTATGTCCTGAAATGAAGGGAAAAGTTGAGGAGATGACGAAAGGGATGACCAGGAAAAGTTTGATGATGTTTGGTGATGTTTGAAGAAGGTTTGATGATGTCGGATGATGTTTGAAAGAAGTTTCATTGTGTTTGATGATGTTTGAAAGAAGTTTGATGGTTGAAATGATTCAATGAAAGCTTCAGTTAAAGGATAAAGTCTGAAAAAGTAATTTGACAGACCCTGAAGTCATTTGGTAAAGTTTGATCAAGTTTGAAGAAGTAATTTGATGAAGTATGAAGTCGTTTGACAAAGTTTGATGAAGTTGGATGTGACTTCATGCAGTCTGAAGCTATTCAATAAAGTTTGATGTATTTTTAAGACGTTCAAAGATACATAATAAGGTTTGATGTCATTTGACGAAGTTTAAAGTGGTTTGATGTTATTTGATGAACTTCAAAATTGTTTGATGAAGGCAGATGTAACTCTTGTTGAAGTTTGAAGTTATTCAGCAAAGCTTGAAATGTAATGATGTTTAATTACATGATTGAAGTTACATATACATGGTTGAAGTTACATAATAAGGTTTGATGAGATTTGATGAAGTTGAAAGATGTTTGACGAAGTTTGAAGAAGTGGCTTGATCAAATCTGAAGTTACTTGGAGTTTGAAGAAGTTATTTTAACAGTGGTACTTCTAGAGTTAAGAATGAAGTAGTAAACCACTATAAAAGTACCTTCAGAGGAATTCTACAACGACCAATGAATTCGTTATCATGGCTTCCGGTTGTGGCAGTGACAGCTATCTCTTTAGCAAGTTTCACTAAACCTCGAACACCCTTCACGTCCTTCACTTTGCTCATCTTCTCTGGAACCGTTTCTGCTGCATCGAAGTCCCTGCAAAACATCCACATTCGATAATATAAAATTTGATAATTCTAATTTAGATAACTCTAGATAGCTGTAGATAATTCTATTTAACTGTAGATGTCTGTAGATAATTCTAGCTAACTCTAGATATCTGTAGACAATTCTAGCTAATTTAATTCTAAATAATTGTTGGTAGTTCTGAACCAATTCTAAGTAATTCTAGACACCTCTAGCTCTAAATATTACAGCTAAATAATTCCATCATTCATTCTTTCATTTTCAAACTCACCATACTTCCAGGCACAGTACGTCGTTTTCTGGATCCTCCAGTGGCCTAAAACAATCATGACCCAAATTCAGTCAACAAACAAAAAACAATGACAGTAAATAAAAAGCTACAGCTGTAAACAATCCATTAAACAAAGCATGATGATTCCACAAAAATCCACTCAATAAAACCCACAAGTCTCAATAATAAGATGACACTAAACAAAAATTCTTACAGTTCAAAATGTTCCTCCCAGACAGGGCTCAATGTAGCCGTCTTCACAGCAGTGTTATACCTCCTCGTGGGTGCAGATTCAAGATAAAGGGCGCAGAAAGGATCACTCTTTCCATTAGCGTCCTTCGACACCAGCTCCTTAGCCTCGATCACTTCCACGTTCAGATGCATTTCCGGTGGCTGTTAATTAACACACCTTTAGCTAAAATATATCGACAGCACACAGAAAATGGCGGGGAAGCCTCACCTCCAGGTTCCTTGTCTCCTCCAGGACTCTCTCGTGCGTTTCGTTGTCGACCTTGAACGCATTTTGAAGATGATTCAGTAGAATATCTTGGCTGCATTCGTTGGAGACGTCGTAGCCAATTTGGTGCTGGGTCATGTACACTAGGGCTGCGTATAGCTCTTCTATCTACAATTTCAGTTTTTTGATCTTTTTTATTATTAAATAATTTTGTTGTTATTATAACTACAATTTTATTACCAAATTCACAAACAGTAATTTAGCAGTTTGTTATTACTGTTCAAATTTTATTAACTAAATCCACAAACAGTAATTTAGCAGTTTGTTATTTCTGTTCAAATTTTATTAATTAAATTCACAAACAGTAATTTAGGAGTTTGTTATTACTGTTCAAATTTTATTAACTAAATCCACAAACAGTAATTTAGCAGTTTGTTATTTCTGTTCAAATTTTATTATCTAAATTCACAAACATTAATTGTTTTCTTTTTTACTAAAACTTGAGGTGTCCTCCATCATCAACTTCTACAAATGGGATATATATCAAGAGTATGTTTCAGAAAAATTTATTGAGTGCATCATAGATATTTTTGTCTATATAATATTTGTAATTAATTGTTTCTTTTTTATCAAAAACTGGAGGTGTTCTCAAACATCAATTTCTACAAGTGGGCCATATATCAAGACAACGTTTTAGAAAAGTTTAGTAAATGCATCACAGAGGTTTCTGTCTATCTATCATTTGTAATTAGTTGTTCTTCTTAATCCTACAAAACTTGAAGTGTCAATCATCAATTTCTATAAATGGGCCATATATTAAGACAATGTTTCAGAGAAGTTTATCGAATGCATCACAAATGTTTCTGTCTATCTATTATTTGTAATTAGTTGTTCTTCTTAATCCTACAAAACTTGAAGTGTCCTCAATCATCAAATTCTACAAATGGGCCATATATCAAGACAACGTTTCAGAAAAATTTACCAAATGCATCACAAATGTATCTATCTACCTATTACTTGTAACTACCTGTTTTTCTACGAATAATTATTAATAATATATTAATTATTTTTCATCAAAAACTTGATATGTCCTCATTCAATTTCTACAAATGAGCCATATATCAAGACAACGTCCCAAAAAAGTTTATAGAATGCATCATAGATCTACTTATCTACTTATCTCTTATCTATTTAGTTTGCATGCAAACCAGATAAGTCACTCGTAAACAACAAACTTTTTGAGGTTGCCTAGCTTCATGATCATTAATAGTTGGATTATTGAGAAACACCACGCAATCGACTTGCGTCACTGGTAATTGTAGCATCTGCTGCGAGACATTATTGATAACGATTATATACACAGATTTTAGTTGCAAGACGCTCGTGGAAACGTCACTTGAGACACGATACTCATGGTTCAAAGTTCTTCTGTTAAAGCGGGAATACCGGACAATCACAAAGAAAAAGATACAATATAAGAATAATTTATTCTCATTTCCTTTGTTCGCTTTTCGACAATAACAGGTTAAATGTACACCGTAAAATGTGTACCATGTATGATTTTTCAATTCTTTTTTTTTTATGGACGTTTGCTTAGAGTGGTGCTGGTTTTAGGTTAAGTTGAGTGTAATTTGCAGGCTTCACGATTATTGGATCATAAAATAATCAAATTGTAATTTGGTTAAATTTATACACTTTTGACAATTTAGATTTGACAAAGTTTCAAATTTCAAAACTTGTTAAATTCCTGTTATTTAAGCTTTCAAGGTAGCCAAATTATTATTAAATTAATTTCAAAGTTTCTAAATTTCTCAAATCTCTAAATCTCTAAGAATTTTAGTTTTGCAAATTTTGTAAATTTTTCAAATTTCTCAAGTTTCCCAATTCTTAAATTGTCCGATTTCCACATTGTCCTATTCCCAAATTTCTCAATTCTCAAGTGATCCCATTCACAAATTTCCCAATTCTCAAATTGTCCTATTCCCACAGTGTCGGATTCCCAAATTGTCCGATTCCCAAATTGTCCAATTCCCATATTGTCCAGTTCCCATATTGTCCAATTCCCAAATTGTCCAATTCCCAAATTGTCCAATTCCCAAAATGTCCAATTCCCATATTGTCCAATTCCCATATTGTCCCATTCCCAAC